CTCTCTCTTCTCTCTCTCTCTCTCCTCTCTCTCTCTCTCTCTCCTCTTCTCTCTCTCTCTCTTCTCTCTCTCTCTCTTCTCTCTCTCCTCTCTCTCTCTCTCTTCCTCTCTCTCTCTCTACTTTCTCTCTCTCTCTCTACTCTCTCTCCCTCTCCCCTCTCTCCCTCTCTCCCTCTCTCTCTTCTCTCTCTCTCTCTCTCTCTCTCTCTCTCTCTCTCTCTCTCTCTCTCTCTTCTCTCTCTCTCCTCTCTCTCCCTCTCTCTCTTCTCCTCTCTCTCCTCTCTCTCTCTCACCCTCTCCTCTCCTCTTCCCTCTGCCCTCTCTCTCTCTTCTCTCTCTCTCTCTCTATCTCTCCTCTCTCTCTCTCTCTCTCTCTCTCTCTCTCTCTCTCTCTTCTCTCTCTCTCTCTCTCTCTCTCTCTCATTCCCTTTCGCTCTCTCTTTCCAAGTCTCATTATCTCTTCCATCTCTCTTTTTTTCCTAATCGCCCCAGCTGCTCGTTCAGTCTCTTCGTATGTAATTTCTCTTTCACTTTCAACTTTTTTTACTCTTCGTGTCTGTCCGCCTCTCATTTACTCTTTCCCTTTCCCTTTCCCTTTCTGTCAGTGTCAAATGTGAAATCGGAAGAAAAATCAGTGTTGTCCGATTCAGTCACAAGCATGATCTGTCTCGCATGCAGTGAGTTTCGTAAATTATCTGGATATTATAAGAGAGAAAAATATATCCATTTCATAAGAATAGAACATTGATTTGTAACTGTGAATAACTCCCCAATGTTCGTATTATTTGATGGGGATCCCTGAAAATAAGAAAACAAAATATGAGATGCAACTTCTTGTAGTCAGCTTAGCATGGGAGACATACATTATAGAGAAAGTCATATGTAGACAACACTAGTAAACGCAAAGTTTTCCTGGGCTTTTGCAATTTAGCCATACAAAATTTTAGTGGCTTTTAAAAGTTACTAGGGTTTTTTTTATACAAATCTAGATCATAAACAGAGAGCATGTATAGAACAGTTGCATTTGGGAGTTTGTTCACAAGCCTTGTACACGGGATATATTGAGTGGTGCATCGAAACCCAAGTTGCTGGAAAAGGTTCGGCTATTTTAACGCTGTTCTCTTTCTTCACAGGATCATCAGGAGGACGGAAGTCGAAGACGGGGAAGTGAAGGAAGACGTCTATGAAGAATACTGAAGAGGAAGACATCCGCAAGAGTTGATTAAGGAGGGCTTTGAGAAGGAGGCGACTTAACGAGTGTGAATTCCTCTCAGTCCTCCTTATGCGCCATCTGCCTTCCTGCCTACCCTTAAAACTGCCATCACTCCACCACCAACACTACTCCACTGTCAACGCCACGACCTGTATTGTCTTTCCGGGTCCTCCAACATATCCATAATAAGGATTTTATTGTGAGGCCTTAAGTTATCCTCACATACATGTCCATTGATCCGCTCTTCAGTCCCAGTTGTAATAGATGGCTTTACCCTACACATATAGTCCACCTAACTTACATTTTGTTTCTGATATCTGGAGAACACTATCCTCTAGTACCAATAGGGAATTTTTGAAGAAAAGGTCAGTGGTTCAACTGTAGTTTATGACATGTCGGTTGTCAGAGGATCTAGTCAGGACCGATAACGCTCGAGAGAAATTAAAGATTTTTTTAATGTTATGAGTGAGAAATTTTAATGTTTGTGACCTTTTATTGTAATAACATGATCAAGTAGTGTTGTCAGCTAAAATGTCCTTTATTCATTTATGAGTTACATCATATAATTTCATTGAAAGCCATTTTTGAAAGATGTCCACGAATGATCACACATTTGTAAAGGTGCACACACCCTATTTGAGCTGTCAAGGTGTTTTTAGGTTAAGTGCCGTTCTCCCTGTGACGTGGCGTTTTCATCCTAGTATGACACTGATTAATATTGTTAAGAATACTTATTGCCGAAGACATGTCATGTATTATAACTAAACCTGTAGCCACGGGACGAGACATAGGAGGTTTCAATAGCAGCTATGTAATCATTTTACTATTTCGGCTCTTAGATTGGTAGAGTGTTACTATTGTGGCTTATGAAACATCCAGTTATGGGCATGTTGAATGTAAGATAGCTATAATATTTCCACATAAGATTCGTGTAACACACCCACAAAACTATATCTCATTTGTAAACAACTTGTGGCGAGATTGATTACTGCGAGCCTGGGATGGGGTCTAAATATGGCTTAAATAGGAAAGTAAACTGTATAGTTACCTAGCATAAAGGTCAAAATCGCAGCTTTCGTCATACTTGTTACCCTCATGGTCATAAGTGGATGAAAAAAAATATGATAATGCCTTAGCACCTATTCCTAGATACTCTCTGGCCATCAGTTGTTATTATCTTTCATTCTTTTGAGTTGGTCTTGACTTAGGCTGGACCAAGTGACAGGGAAGAGGCCTGCCCTGTGTTAGTATCTCAAAGGCCTGTTCCCAGTCCTCCGGGTTTAATTCAAGACTTGGTAGCTCCGAATATTGTGGTCACTTATCAAGTTTTCAATAAATGCTTAATGTGACTTCTTTGTATTATTAGCAGTACCTTAAAATATATCATTTTTATTCTTATGATTCATTGTATTGTTTGAATGGAGTCTCTCACGGTTGTGAGCAAATGGTTTTGTGATTTAAAATAATCCTTGCACGTCATTCATCAGATGATTCACGTGTTTTATGATTGATACACTTTGACTTTGAAAATTCACATCTGAGGTGTCATTCCCAACTGATCACATGTTAAATTAGTTATGAACGAAATAATGGTTGAATTAAACAAGGCAATAATTTTTATGTATTTTTAAGCATTATAATATTTATATTTAAGGATTATAATATATTGTTTAAATATTACAGTCATTTAGCGATATATATATATATATATATATATATATATATATATATATATATATATATATATATATATAATCAGTAGTAAACATGTGAAGAGAAAATATAAAAACATGGACTGGCCTTAGAAATATAAAATAGTCCGCATCTATAAACCTCTGTATGAAATGCAATGAATATTGATTTAATCGGTTTCAAAATAACGCCTTGGAAATAACCATGTGATACCAGCTATCAGTCCTTTGGTTTTCGTATAGATAACTATGGGCTTTGGCAGTAGAGCCTATTATATAGTCTTACACATCTCATTGGAAAGCCCTAATTCTTGATAAACCTTTGGTTCCTTTGTTAAGAAATGCATATTTTTTTTATTTGCTTCAGATTTGCTGATAATAATCCATGAGGTGATAAAAGCAAAAAAATGTCGAAAGAAGTATCAATAAAAGCTATAGTGTTACTTAACACATGGCGCAGAAGATCAGATCAAACAGGTTCGTAAGATCAAACCAACTACGAAACAAGAGACATACGATATCTCTGATTATAGAACCAGATGGAAAGCACACCGAATAGGTAAATAGTATAAAAAGTCAATTAAATAGAGAACTCCACTAATAACACGCAATGAAGAATGATGGTATGCAGTCACAAATGTCATGCTTGCAATACATACACCACCAGAAGTGCAAAGAAAAACGGCGTTACTATGTAAACGAACTAAAAAAAAAAAAAAAATGGCAGGCAAGCCGTACGATTCCATGAAAACCCCTGAATAATTTAATGCAGAAATACTGAAACTTTTGGCAAGAAGTGAATTATTGTTCTGTAACATCTTCCAAGCGGTTAGTTAACCAAACTGAGTTACCATCTTTTCCAATAAAGACAATAATATATAATAAACATTTGACCAGGAATACTACAAAGGACTGAAGTGTTTGAGAGATTTGAAGCACAAAAAAATCAACATAGATAATCAGTGAAGAGTTTTGGCCACCTCCAACAGCTTAAAAGAGTGTTTTAAGCAGACTTACCATAGGCCATTTTGTTATGTATGTGCTTTCGAGAATTAATGAGAAAAATATTGATCTGAAGGGTGTTGACGAAAACACTTTTTTTAATCAAGAAACAAAATTTGGTAATGTAATATACATATGAAAAGCATATTTAATACTTTTAAAAGGATAAAACATTGCTGAAGGTCATTACATTTCTAAAATAAGGTTTAACAGAATAGCAGTTAATAACACGACTAGGGACTTCATTTCTATAATTTTACCCTTAAATCCCCCATACACACGAATTACAAAATAGTATATTTTTTTTACGTGTCAGTTCACTTAAGAGACCGAATCAGCCATTGGCTTCTGCTAATCTTTGCTGAGAGTGATTGGAAGAATTCTTCACAGCGGCTTCAATGATGGTTTGTTTCTTCTTATTACCCCGTTGCATTGAATTTGCATCACATTTTTTCAAGAAACCTGAAAATTTGTTTTGATTGTTGAAATCTTTTACGTGAAGCCCTAGGGAAGATGACCGATTTGTTCGATAGTTATTATCACAGTGATATTTAACACAAACTGGAAAAGTCAAATAGAATCCATGTGGGGAGGATGGCTAACACAGCTCTGTCAGGTATGCAACAAATTAAACTTTGTACTGTACATTGTTCAATATAATCGTACACACCTCGCCTCACAGGATCCTTAACACTATGATTTGCACGTTGATTCGCTTGTCAACTCCATCTTAAAGATAGAAGATTCTTAAACACAGCCTTGATACTTTGACTAATTACTTGTGCCACTAGGGATAAACGATTGTATTGCATCATTGAGGTAGTTTTTCTCTTTGGTTGTAATCTGAGTTTGTCCTCGAGTCTTCTGATAAGAGGAACCTCGAGCTTTAACGAGAGATATGTAATAAGTTGCCAGCAGAACCACGCGACTAGAAAGAACCACTGCTGCAGCCATGTCGTCCAGCGTGAACAGTACACAACCCTGAAGGATAAGTGTTGATAATTTATGTATAGTTTCCCCTGAATATTGGTTGCGTTCATAACAAAATAGAAAATTTACATGAACTATTAAAAAGTTTTCAGTTCAAGATAATCAAAGTCTAATACTCCTGAGGGTTGATCAACACACCTGATCCAGCTGTCAGACGAGTTGTCCAAACGGCAGACATAGTAGGTCAAGGCTTCCCAGGCGTAGTCGAGACCTCTGAAGGGCGAGCAAGCCAGCGACGGCTTGATGAGCAGGGAGCCAAGCCGGTGGACACGACGCACATGAGGAGGGCGAGAGAGAGGATAGTCATGAACATGGCCGAGGAGCGCGAGGCCCGGAACACTCTCTCTGCCGGGAAACAGGTCACGGTGACGACGTGAACAACTTCAGGAGGAACATGTAGAAGAAGTTGATCAGAGAAGCACAGCTAGCAGGGGCGCGTAGATGATGCCAATCCAACAGAGCGTCTGCGCGTACACGACGTCCAGAACGTGTCCGGGCACATAGAACTCGATTCTCCCGACCATCTTGCAGATCTTGTTGTCGAACCTCCAGAGTCCCCGCCGAAGCACGTTGACGACGAAGGTCATGCCGAACTGGATGATGGCGTCGAGCACCAGCACGGAGTTAGATCTGCTGCCCCATGCGCGTCTCCCAGCAGATGTATTCGTTGTCCTTTTCGCAGTTTCGGTCCCCGGAGGATGTGACACTTAGGCTAGTAATTACGAGGATGCCCAAGGACGTGAAGCCTCACTAACACGCACCGACTGAGTGTGATTAAAAGTTCGTGTCTCCCGGAGTAGTGTTCGAATTTGATCACAAAGTCAAAAAGTAGTGGATAGATAAAATTGAAAACCGACACCAGAATAGTCGGGCATATTCCCACAAAAACTTTTCAAAGTCGGTGCCAGTCACATGATTTTCTGCTCAATAACCATGAAATATATTGCGACCCAACCGCCGATGATCAGAGAAAAGGTTGCCACATTGATAATGAAACGGGTTAGGTAGAGTTTGAACAAATCTCTGCTCGTGAGACTCATTTGCTTACTCCTGTAGTCGACGTCGTCGAAGGCTGTCTTTACTCGCACACCACGAGATTTCTTTCGATTTCGGCGGGTCTTTCTCGCTCACCGTGAAGTCCCAGCCGGTGAAAACGATCTTCGAGAAGGTCATGCCGTAGTCCGTCTGGGAGACAGAGGACTGACGCAGGAACTTGGCGACGAAATAGACCACGTACACGATGGAGATGAAGTAGACCACGAGCATCGTGAGGATATAGGCCAGGCTCACGAGGTAGCTCTCACTTTCTATGGCAGCCGGGTATCTGCCGCTGAAAAGGAAGGTCCACTCGAGGAATCCTGATCCTTGAAGAAAGTCGCCCACTAGGACGATGATATCGTTTGCGCTCCTGTCTACTTCCTGCTGTATCATGTCCGTGTAGTTTTTTGTTACAGTCATACGTCTGTAAAGAGAGCACTTGAATTATCATTCAAGGTGTAAAATAAGCATATACTTCTCACATATCCCAACAAGACAGACTTTAAAAAGAAGGGTCCATTTCTAACACCTTAGATCGAATCAATCACCTGGTTGTCAAAGTCGAGCTGTATCCCGACGCACAGATTCCTTGTGTCGTTGAGGCTCCATGAGAATCCTTGGAACCGCCATCGTCGCTGACAAAGTAGCTTGACGGGATAACGACGCCGCCGATCAACAGGAGGAGCAACAGGAGGTTCAGCTGAATCATGTCGCGCAGGAAATTGAAGACGGCAACGACGCTCGCCCCGTGTCGCCCCTCGATCCTCTTCAGAATACCTCCCCACGCTGCCTCGCAAGATGGCAATGTGGAATCAGGGGAAAGGTGTCTGATTGCTGTCTATCCTTATATCTATTTATCTATCTTATGATCTATTTGTTTGTATATCAGAATATATAGAAGACTATTATTTATTTCATAGCTGTATGAATGTATGGCACGGTACGTTACCGAAAAGTCGGTATATATTTGTAGTAAATGATACACTTTTATGTGCATATACGCTGAATATGTCTGTGTGTGTGTGTATGCTGTATGTGTGTTAACTATGTCTAACCTCCCTTTATTTTATATATAGAGAACATCGCTTACACTTAGAGTCTGCATGATGTTGCTGACGGTGCTGCTTCCCTGCATGACCAAGGAAGTGACTGGTCGAGCCGAATACCACTTCTTGTGTTTTTGTTCCTGAAATGGGTCAAAGCACATTAGGTGTTGGCGGATGGACAACAATTGTGAATTTCTGTAGATTGATGTAAATTGATATATATATATATATATATATATTTAGACATACATATAACTATTTATAATACACACGCAAACAAAAATCACACACGCAAGTCATGTACAAATCATGCCATGAATTGAAGCTTCTGTCTCGCCCTATACGAAAAGTTTGGTTTTAAGCGGGTTCGAAACGGAATTCGAAATTGGTTTGACAGGAGTCTTGACCGTGACTGTGTGTATGTGTGTATATATATAACAGGAGGTTCATATATATATATATANCCTGGAGACATTGTGATCAACAACACTGACAGGAATATATATTCATTCATATATTTATATATATATAATATATATATGAAAGTCACGTCCCTGATTATGATTAAGCCATACTGGAAGAGGGAATCAAAGTCGCTTTTAGAAAAGAGGAAGAAGAAAAAAAACGAAATAAAAAGAAATGGAAATCGTACAAAATTGTTGATTGTTGGCAATACATTAAAAAAAGAAATCGGCCTTATTTCTAATCAGTTATCAAACACTTTCTTTGCTTTCGTCACATTATGCAAAATCTTGTTCGGACACCACTGTGAGCAGCCTCCGTCCGTGCCCAGCGAGCGAACCCGAGTCCCTGCGCTTGGGACAGTCAGTCCTTGAGATTTCACAGCACATTGAAGAGAACAGAGCGAGCGGCGGCGGTCACGGCGCGCGAACACCGAGGAGGAACTGCCGCTCGAGAATACACAGCGACAGCTCCTCGGTTGCCAAGGGGCCGAGTAGCACACCGGTGTTGATATTGCTAGTCAAGCAAATACATTTGGGTAAACGCTAACATCAGAGCCGTCTGTTACAGACATTGACAGTCATCACGACACTCATAGCGTGACTAAGGCGCTGTTTGGTCTGCGGTGGCGACACAGCAGTCAGTCACGTGAACAGGCAGCTTCCCGGCCGGGAGCGCTTGAGGTAGGCGTGGCGCCCACCGGCCACAGTGTCGTGCCCCGCGGGCGTGAGTCCCCAAGGCCGCAGGAAGACCTACACTGGCGTTTCTCTCTCCGGTAACTTGTGCACCTCGTTGATGACGCGGTAGTTGACGACGCTGGCGAGCAGTGGCGACGACTCCTCGCACTCGCTGCTGCCGGCGTCCTGCTTGCTGCAGTAGCGCAGCCGGGGGTTCCGCCCCTCGACGCCGCCGCCCGACAGCAGGGCCTCGCTCTCCCCGCCGCTGCGGAGGCTCAGCGGCACTATGCTGTGCGGGCGCCAGCGGACGGCGCTCCCCGAGCTGGAGGCCTTGTCGGGGGGGCCGCCCCCGGCGCCGCTGGAAGGCTTGCTGCCCCCCGGCGTGGAGGGCGAGGCCACGGCGGTGCCTGCGTCGCGCAGGGGCGAGGCGGGGGCTCTGTGCTCGAGGCTGATCGCGGCGGAGAGCGGCAGCGCGGCGAGGGCGAGCGGAGGGGGCGGCTCGCCGGGCGCGGGCGGCGCGTGCTCGTCCGAGGCCTCGACCAGGCTGGAAGGGCGCGACACCACCTCGCTCACCGACGTCCTGCGGCTGGCGTTGAGCACCTCCTCGTCCGCCGAGACGCCCGGCGACGACAGCGGCGACATGGCGGCCTCGGGGTGGCCCAGGAGGGGGCTGTGGTCGCCGGGGGGCCCCCTGGGGGAGCGCGGCGAGCTGGCCCGCGGCGCCGAGCGGTGCTCCTTGATGCACGGGCACGAGTTGCGCTTCATCTCGTGGCTGATGCGGCGCACCGCGCAGTCGTCGGAGGCGGCGGGCGAGGCGGGCGCCGGCGGCGACTCGCCCGACGCCCGCGGCTCCTCCACCGCCACCCGCGCCGTCAGCTCCTCCGACATGGCGAACCGCAGGCGCTTCGGGGACTCGAGGCTGAGCGTGCGCGGGATGGCCGAGGACCGCGTGCGCCCGCCGCCCCTCAGCGACCCCCGCAGGCCGCCCACGCACCCGTTCTTCGCCAGCCCGACGTTGTGGAAGCCGCGCTGCCGCCGGGACTGCTCGCGGCGCCGCTTGCGGTCGGGGTCCTCGCCTGCGGGAGGAAGGGAGACGCCGACGGGTTAGGGGCAGGGGATGCGAGCATGAGGGGAATTGGGGTGGGAAATTCTGAAGGATAATGAGGATGACGATGACGATGATGAAGATGATGATGATGGCGATGATAATGATGATAATGAAAATGACAATAGTTCTAGTAGTAGGAGTTGTAGTACCATTACTACTACAACTCCTACTACTACTAGTAATAAATAATGACAGCAACCACATCACACATGGTGCCATAAAAGAAAAACAGCTAGAGAAAGGTGGAAAAAAACGTTGCACCGAATTGCAAATACCCCCCCACCCCACAGGAAAAGCTCTTGGGCGAAATTCTTCATCCTAACAGAATCGACTCTCAAGTATTGATCCAAAAGTCTATTCAGGTTAATCATTCCTGAGAACTGGAATGTCACCTGTTCATATTTAACGTCGTGTGCGGCTCAAACCTGCATCATTTAAGCCTTAGTCCTGTGATGATAATGAACTGTATTATGAATATAATATACGAGGGTTTTAGTTTCTCTATTTATGTATTTCAGGGAAGTTGCCGTGAGCGTTTGAATAATCATTGAGTTCAGCTGAAGGTCATCAAGACTGCAGTTCCGTATATAAACAGGTTTTTGATACACAACCAGAATATTTGATCAAACACACACGCAACTACCATAAACATCGCCTTCACATCGCCACATACTGACAAATACACACGCAATTATCGCCACATCGACATGCAGTGAAAAATTCACACATACACTCCACCGCCACATCGTCATGCATTGAAATATACCCATGCAATTACCACCACATTACCATGTAGGGATGGACACACACACACGCGCAGCTAATACGCCACCACCACATCGTCATACAGTGAAAGATACACACCACTCACAAACCACACCGTCACATGACCACTTCTATCACTTACCGACGAGCCAATATGTGGTCATCTCCCCTTTGCCTTTGACCTTGACCTGACCTCGCTCCTCCAGGTTGTAGCCGCCCAACTTGACCAGGAGATCACGACAGGAACATGAGCAGTGGATCCTCAGCGCTAAGGTCAGGGTGAAAATGAAAAATAGGTAAAGGCATCATAGCAGTATATATATATATATATATATATATATATATATATATATATATATATATATATATATATATATATATATATATATATATATATATATATATATATATATATTATATATATATATATATATATATATATATATATATTATATATATATATATATTACAAAATTATTCAGGTATTTTATATTTTTTATTCCATTATGTCTTATGTACTCCCCTACTTGTCATCTAATTATTTATCTATTTACTTATGTACTCATTTTTATGCATTTACCTATATAATTTGTCTGTTCATTTTTTTGCTTGTGATTTCATTTATTCATGTATTCATTTATATATTTCCTTTTTCATTGCATTTTTGCATAATAGGAATATTTTGTTATATTCAAATACTTCCTTACCTTTAGTTTTTATTCTTTCAATTTGTTCCTTTATTCACTTTCTTCTATTCATCTTAAAGTAGAGGCATCGCCCTATTAGAGGTTTGATTCGTGATATTACATAATATGTAAAAAAAAAAAAAAAAAAAAAAAAAAAAAAAAAAAAAAACATACACTCATATTGCATCTAAACAATTATAAATCATATCTCTGCACATCGATCGTGTACTGCGGAACTGCACTGGCTAGAACGTGTACAAAGCCGTGACGTGTACACTCGCAGCCTTTCCCTTCCCCCCTCGGAAAAAATGCCTAGTCAAAAAAAGGCCCAAAAAGTCATTTATTTGCTCGAACCGAAACAGGAACGGAACATGTTGGCGAAGGGTTATGACTGAGGGTGGCCAGTGTGTGACGGTATGTGCGGGGTCCTTACATTGTTTGCGTCCTACGTAACTGAATTCTGCATTTCCATTCATTTCTATCTTTATATACATACGTACATATATATATATATATATATATATATATATATATATATATATATATATATATATATATATATATATATATATATATATATATATATATATATATACATATATATACATATATATATATATATATATATATATATATATATATATATATATATATATATATATATATATATATATATATATATATAT